TAAAATTTTATGATACTTGGGTTAGTTCATAGACCAATCTAAATTACTTCTAAAATGTGTAGCTATACATTGAATAATACATTATGTAAAATTATAAATTAAAACTTTTTAAACAGTGCTGTCAGGTTCAGATATTAAGTGATTTGGTTGAAATCCTTTCAGACAGTGATTGAAGTAAATGACCATGTTCCTGATTTTGTGGAAAGTATGATTTTTTTTTTTTGCTTTTTAAATGTTTGTTAACAATGCATATAGTATAAAAACAGTGTTGATTCTCATTGCATTGTAAATAGATAGATGGTGGATAGGTAAAAAATAGTTTATATGATAATCAAATTAAATCCTCCTTTCTATTCATCGAGATCTCATCCTTTTTGTCATAAAGAGCCATTGCTTAAAAGTTGATGTCTTTATCTGTCATTCTGTCTACTATCTGTGTCTACTATATCAACATTTAAAATAATTACATAGACGAGATGATAGTAAGCTTTTTACTTTCACATCTCCTTTTCTCCCCTCATTCCCCCCATCCTGATTTTATTTCTTAAGACAGGGTCTTATGTAGCCCAAGCTGGCCTTGAACTCCTAATCCTCTTGTTCAGCCTCTCAAATGTTGTGGTATAGGCTACTTAGCATATCTTTAAAATTTTTATTTATTATTTTTATTTTATGTGTGCAACTGTATTGCCTGCATGTATGTAAGTGCGCCCATGTCGTGAGTTCTTGTGGAGGTCAGAAGAGGTGTTGGATCCCCTGGAAATGGAGCTAAGGATCATTGTTAGCTGCTATGTGGGTGCCAGGAACCAAACCCAGGTCCTCTGCAGTTGCAGCCAGTGCTGTTATAATCATTGAGCCACCCCTCCAGTCCCCACTTAGCATATCTTGATGCTCTTTATATGTCGTACATCTAGATTAATCATTGAATATTTCATGATTCCACAATTTATTCATCTCTACTAAATTATCTGTAATCTTCTACCACATAATTTTATCATGCATTCTTATTCCATTTTCTCTATATTTTAGCATGTTATGTTTTTGTATATTTTGTGATTTCCCTACAGTTTGCATTATACATTTACAATTAATCTAACTCTATTGATAAATAATACTATATCAGAAATAGTGC